CCCCTGGGACGAACCCATAGGCCACCCCGCCAGAGCGGGATCGTCGCAGCCGACCCACCGGAGCGGGCCTGCATGCGATCGTCGGTCGTCCCGGGGAGACTCCAAGGATCCGGGACATCCAGCCTGTCGCCCGGACAACACTTGCTAGAAGATTCCACTGAAAAAGATCAGGAAGAAGCAGGTAAGAATACCCGAAAAAAATTCTTAGCTCCTTACTCCTGACGCTAGGCAAAAAACTGGAGACTGGAGACTTGTCAGCAGGTGGGGGGTTTTGGCCACCGGCAGGGGCCGCCCCTAGGCTGGGATTGGTCTTTAGTTTTGTGCCTAGCGTCCTTCTCCTGCAGGTGGCGATATTACCCTACAGTACAGGATCTCCGATCTGTTCCCTGTGTCCTTCAATGAACGGGAGAGAAATCTATTTTTTTTTTGGCTGTGCGCTCCCCCTGTTTGTTTCATGAAGTCTAATGACCTTCTCCTACCTCCCTACTTACCAATGGCAAACAGTATCTTATGGGAGATACATGTCTTACCTGATATTTGATATTATCTTCTCCACAAGAGGTTATACCTCCTTGGATAACCGTGGCATTGACTGATTGATTGATTGATTGATTGATAGTAAAAATATCATCATACCTGGCCTATAATTCAGGATGTATTTGGTTTAACTTGAATCTGGTGGCATTCTGCTTAGAACAGCTTTTATGTTCTCTGTAGTCTCCCATTGGATGTTTATGTGCTAGGACCTTGTACTATAGATACTTATATATGCTTCCCCATTCCTTCTAATAAGTTCTGGAAAACATGTCAACAAGCTACTAGTATTCCACTATAAATGATTAGTGTAAAAGCTACAGAATATAAAAGCCTAATTGATAGCTAGCTCTACCTCTCTAGAGCCAGCCGTGCACGCTCCCTCCCCAGATGAGGGGTGGGGGGGAATCCTTGTGGCGGGTCAGTGACTTTGAGTGCACTCCGTTGGGAGCAGAGACCAAGACCTGACTGATCAGTGGTCATGTGATCAGTAAGCTCTCAATCTTAGGGCCGGCGTGGGGCAGTTGCAGTGCCCCGGACCAGCTCTATGTATTGGGTAAAGTATGTTTTACTCTCCCCATACTTTTCCTTTAATCTGAGTTTTCGGTAATCCCCTGCAACCAGCTCTCATGCTGCTCACTGGAAGTGTAGTTCCTACAAAATGTGCTGTGTAAATTACATTAGTTATCTCTTTGCTGCTTCTATAACCAGGAATCTAATGGGGAATCTTTATGGTGGCTAGGAGAAAATACTGATATTTCTATGTATAGAAGAAGGGAGCATACCTTGGATGGGTATAAGATTAGCTGTCCTGAATCAAAAGGTGAGGTATTGGTCATTAAATTACTAAACAGTATGGATGAAAACTGAAGTACAGCAGATAGACTGTATGCATTTCAAGGATTAAATGTCTATTTTCACTTGAGTGCACCTATAAGCCGACAGTGTTCAAATGTGTATATAACATGAATTGCATGTTAAAGCCTTTGGCGGAGAGGAAGGACGTGGCCTGCCGCAGGCTGTGTGTGTCTATGGACGCACACAGCTACTGCAGACACAGCCAAGAACGAGCACGCACAGGTGCCTCCATAGCAGCCTCTTAGCTGATGTAGGGGGGAGCAGACAGTGATGCGGGGACCCACTAGAAAATGAGGAATTGAGACATTTAAAAAAAATAAAAATAACAACAGAGCTGCATACCATCTGTGCCTGCATTCTATACAAATAAAAAAAGAGCAAGGTTTATTGTCCCTTTAATTCACAAGGAACTTTATTTTAGCCACTTGACTGTCATTTAATAAATCTTATTGGACTGAGATGAAAATAACTGTCAGTTTTTTATATAAAGAGTCTTATCCTGGTATACTGGCTTTCAGAATTGAGCTTCATGTATGAAAATGAACACTAAAATACAAATGTATATATTTTTTTTACAATAAATCTTCTTTTCTGAGATACAGTTCATCTTTTATTTCCATCTTCTTCTGTGGCCCTTTGTTGATCATTTTCCTTAATTTTGAAAAAAAGCTCATATATTTCAAAACATATCTTTAAATTGACTTCCAACTCTGTGCTATTCTCAGATGCAATCTGTAGAACTAGGAGTGTGTATCTATATGCATGCCTGTGCTTCCACCAATCAGCGTGGTCTCCAGCCATGTGATCACCATTACAACCAATCATGGTAATCACATGAGGAATGTTTAGAAACAAATCTTCTACTTCAACGGCCAATGAGTCTTGCACAGAGATATGCACAGTGACAGATAAAAGGGACAAGCTGCAGCTGTCATACTACAATACAGTATGTACAAATATGCACAGCTATATCATCCATTCACACATTCTTTGACAGTAACAGTGCATGAAGAAACTATAAGTCCCATTTGCCACGGCAGCAGAGGGACTTGTAATTCTCAATGGAATATAAGTGCAGTGATGTCATTACACTTGTAGTCCATTCATACTTCCTCCCGTCCCTTGGCTGAAAGTCCTTATCTCAGTACAGACAGGGTCTCGGAGGAAGGGTTTGCAGGAGCCAGAGCAATGCACCCCCAATCCACTGACGGTGGTTGCAATGCATTACTGGCTCCAATGCAAAACATAATTAATGCACATATTGCCTTTTTGTTATGAAAAAGGTGGACTTTGCTTTTAAACCAACTTCCATATATGTAAAACATCTGTAAAATATAGGAGGCCTGCACCATTTGTAACTTTAGTCAGTAAAAATATAATCAGTTGTAAAACCTTTATACCTGCTTTGCAGGGGATGAATTTTTGGAGACTTGGGTGGTTTTGTGGTTTCAATCCCAAGAAGCTGAATATTGCCATTATCAGATGCCACGGCCAAGTAATGCGATCCCTGGCAAAATGTCAATGTCTTAACATGCCCACCGATGCGAGAATATGTCAATATTGACCTAAGTCAGAAAATAGGAAATGTAATATTCGTAGCAAGCGGGTCAGCAGACATAAAACAAAACAAAAAGCACATAATTGCTAGATACAAACACATTACAACTATGGAATACTCAAGATTGATATTTGTTTTGTGTAAACCATTTCATTGCAGCATTCCGACATAAATGAAGATACACAATAAATGCTCAAGGTGAAATCTATGATGTTGGATAGAGTGAGCTGACTTGCTGCATTTTTACAAACATTTATTAGTTCAACAACATTAGTTTTTTCAATTGTATATGAATTGTAGAAGTGCAATAAGTGATTAAAAGTAAATCTAAAGCCTCAAGTTTATTCATGACTCTTCTGAACAGCACTTTGCCAAAGTCTAAATTGCTGGGTTAGTTTTGGATAAAAAGTGACTGTATTAAAATTCTTTGCCTATTTTGTGATCATTTTTCTCACACTCTCTAGACAAATTCCTTGGCTAGGAGGGTAGATTGCAGCACCACATACAATTGACATATCTGTTTCACTAGAACTACAGCTTCTATGATGACTTGCGTGTGCTGTCGGTAGAGGAGGGACGACCTGGCAGCTTTAGGAGCCAGGGCTGCTGGTTGCTCCAGTAGACACAATCCATAATCACTGCAGAAGGGTGGGGCTAAGCAGTACTGCTACATCAAAGCCAGTCTAACGTTGGGTATATACTGGTAGATTTTCATATGAACATTCATACAAAAAATCTTGGCACAACATTCGATAATACCGTCAGAGATTGTTCACAATTTCGTTTGATTTTAATATTTGATTTTGGAATGAATGGAGTTTCCCAAAGAAAACCACATTCACTGATAGAATTTTGTTTGTTCAAGAAAAAATATTTCCATCCTGGCTCTTTGGTTTCCTTCATCACTACGGTCAACAAAAAGAGTTTTTTTTACTCACCTTAAAATCCTTTTCTCTGTGTTCAATGAAGGACACAGTGGATATCTCTAGATCTTGACCATTGGGTTATAGTTCCACCTTCAGGGCAGGTTCACACCAAAATGGTGTGAACCTGCCCGCAGTCCCAGTGCATTCCAGACCAGACAAAATGAGACATGCCATATTTTTCTGGTCTGGACTGCGCTGGTGTGAACAGAGGCCAGAAATAGCATAGTGATACATTAGGATGCAGTTTGGGTCTGGAAACAATCTGGTCTGGTCTGGAGATGATCTGGATGTGGTGTGAATGGGCCCTCAGAAGTAGGACAATGAGCATAAAAAACAAAAGGACAGCCTTGGGGCAGCCCCTGCGGGTGGTCAAAACCCCATCTGCTAGATGCAGCTCAGTTAGTTAAAAAGCAGTACAAGAACAACAAATGGGCATAAGCACAGCAATCGGAGGGTTGCAAAGATCATCCCATATCTACAGGTATTAGAAGGGCCTAACCTACAGTTGCGGCATTAAAACACATGTTACCGTGCATTGTGATAACAGTCAAGCAGCATTTATAACATATTTACTCATTCTGGATACTGCTGTTTGTACTTTTTGAAGTGTTTGTTATTGCTTGCACTGCTTTTAGTTACTGCTGCTTATATAAAAGTTCTTCTTTTAGGAATTCAGGCTGTTGTCTGTTATTTGAATGTTTTAAAATTATGAACAAACAGGAGTCAAGTAGTTAGGGTGTTTAGGTACCCAGAGACATGACATGATCACTGTTTGATCTGGACAGTTTCAGCAGATCTATTTTACATTCATGGTTGGTTCACACACATTATGAAAGGAAACACGATATCCTCCTTATGACTTATTATTGGAGGGATTAGATGATTATACCTTGTGGTTGTGGTTTTTCCCTCCATCTTCTGACTGTTCCAAATTTTTACCGTGCCATCGTTTGAACAAGTGGCAAAAATGGAATGTTCATCAGACACCCGAATTCTGTTTACTGGGCCCTTGTGCTCATGTAAGTGTGCCACCAGCAAGCCCTTAGGATGCCACCCTAAGAAGACAACAAGAATATTTTACAAACTAATTTGCAGTACCTTAACACTTGAAGCAAAAGTGAACATTCCAGTTAATGAAATACCTAAAACGCTATTCTGCAACAACTAGAATAATTGCAAATCTGATTAAGGGCTCCTGCCTGGCTCATTGGATTATGATATGATCTTTTATCAAACATTTGAACATTTTTGGTTATTATTATAAATCCAGCATATACCTTAGCACTTTTTACAGTATATACTGAAAACATATTTCTTTCACATGAAGACTAAATAGGAACAAGACGACAGAATAGGAACAAAATGGATAGCATGGCAGATTATCACAAGAATCTAGTGGAGGGTGGCGACTTGTGTTGCTACAATGCAATGCACTGTTTTCCTTTTTTTCCCTTTCTTTCACTTCTGACATTCCAAAATGTCACGGTAACTTCAGGGGAGCTCTGGCAAATTGCGGAAACATATAGCGTGTTTGCATTTTTCCGCAACGCACTGCAAACTACCTGAAGGCGGTGGGAACAGGGCACACAGAAAACAATTATTTTCTATGTGCCCTTGTGGTTATAGCACAGCATATTTTAGCAAAAGAATCTTCTTCCCCCAGACCTGGTGGGTTCTCTACACACCTGTTGGTGGTGGTTTACTCTCCCACTCAGCACTCTCCATCATGTTCTTGGCTAATCTCTCAGCATTGCACTGCTCCCGCTTCTGCTGTATCAGCTGTTGAAGTTCAATCTTACAAGTGGTCATTCGGATTTGGAAAGCTGATGGTTGAGATGTGCTTGTGTAGATCTGCAAGGTGGGACGCCTTGACTGGATTCCTGTTCCTTCTGATGACTGGAAGAAGGTAAAGTTGGGATATATTCGGTTAGTTGCTGAAAATCTATTATTTTGAACAAAACAATTCTAATAGGGGATGCCGGCTAATTAAGGCGTGCTACTAAATAAGGAAGCATCTAAACATAGGCTATTTTGCCTAATGCAGGTAAAACATTTCATGAAGGATTGCGTAAAAAAAAAAATGTCTACAGCTGGCTGGTATATTAGGCCACAGGAGGCTAAAAAGTGAGCAATGTTTCAAAAAACATATCCACTATATTAGATTAATTGAAAAGAGTAAGTCTGGTTTCCCAAAAAGTTCCACATCACAATGTCCTTGCCCTTCTCATCAAAACAGCAAATCTATATCCAGATCCTCAGGTAGTGAGTAGAGATGAGGATAGGGCTTGGTGTGAACTCCATGGACACTGAATGTAAGGCACACAATGTGTCTGGGTGAGATCCAACCTTATATACGTTTTTTTACAGGAAGCTAACAATGTTATGAGGTAATTTCCTTTTACCTCTGACCTTTCATTAGCTGTTCTGATTATTTCCTGCCTCCTCTGACCTTGTCTCACGTGTAAAATTGTTGCAACATGGATCCATGGTATGCAGGCATGCTCCTGGTGATGGTTATTATACTGCTACGCCAAGTGCCATTCACATTGAAGTACTCACCACAGCTCTCCTTATCAGTAGAGGACATATCCTCATATCCAGGGAAAACTCTTCCTGCTATAGAACTCCACTGATCAGCCTTCTTCCTATTGTTTTTGTATTGAAAATGCCTGCTGTCATACAGCTCAGGGCACTCTTCCACCATACTAATTAATTTCTCAGGGTCACACTACTTATCTACCATTGTTCCTTTGGTCTACAGATCACAAGATCACCTTTTTCCACAGACAGGAAGTGACCAAGGAAGATTAGGTCATCACAGATGACCATAGAGTTTTTTTCTTTATGGTTCGTTTTTTGCATTGAATTGCTTTGCGTTTTTGATGCGTTTACATGCATTTTTGATGCGTTCCAGAGCAGGTAAAATAGGGCTTGCTGCAATTTTTTTACCTGCTCTGGAACGGAACGCTGCAATGTGAACTGGAGCTAAAAATACCATAGGAATACATTGGGCACAGTTTTGATCTGGTCTGTAACTGATCTGCACCTGCTCCGCGCTTGGTGTGAACAAGCCCTAAAGGGTGTTGGAATGTGGGGCTTTTTCTGATCTGTATGTATCCTTTAAATAAAACAACAATTATTTAAATTCCTGAAGACATACTAATCTGTGAATGTTATTAAAAATAAAAACATGAACTAGTCTGTTATTTATGTTTGGCTTATTTTTGTCCAGAGTTTTGCATTCTAGTACTAAAATATTTTATATTCACTACCTGAGGAGAGGAAGACAATGGAGCATTAAGTGCTGCAGAAGACTCTGAGCGAAGAGGTTTTGGGTTTTCCTGGTCAGTTGGAGGCAAAGTTCGTGTTCCAGCTTGGCTCATGTTTGCAGGCTCCATGGCACCAAACATGCTCTTCCATTCTTCATTCACATTGGAATCTTGCTTCACATGTTTTCTTGCTGCAGAGAGAACACAGTTGGTAACACTCATCAAAATGCACACTGGGTGAACGAAAGTGAGAATCTGAACCTTTCTAGTGGTCACAACAAGAACAAATCCTAAACACACATTAAGGTGATATTAAAATCAAAATGTTTTTTAAGCTAATTCAATTGCTGATTAAATCACTTAAATTGGATGCTGCTCCTTGATGTTTAAAAGTTTTAGTTTCCTGCAGAATCAGCTGGTCCCCTGAGCACTGGCCCTGATATCCTGTTTTAGGGTGACTACTTTCCCTTGCAGGGTCTTATGGAGCCACCCTTGTGTGTGCTAGTAAGTTGTGTGTGTCTTCACAAACACACAGGCACAGCAATGTATATTTGTTTGACCTAGATTCATTAGTGAAAAAAGATTGAGAGTTTAATACTACTAACAAATAAGCCTGAATGCCACTTTAAAGCGATATAGCTAATTAGCTAAGTTTATATTCGAAACCCAAAATATGGGAACTGTATTACTTGTTTAAAAATTTAATTCAATTCAGCCGGTCTTAAAATCCAGGTATTCCTGACAGCATAGCCAAATCCCTGACCTCAGTTTTCTCCACTGCAGTTAAACAAATATAGCTTGGCCAAGGAAATCCCTAGACTATAACTAAGTAATGAGGAACCCAAAGCTCACCAATGTAGGCACCTGTGTGCTCACTACTCCAGGCAGCAGGCAATTTTTTTCAGTCAAGGCACCCTTTAAAAGTATGCAAAATCTTGAGGCACTCCAGTCTAAAATTGAGTCTCCCTTCATATTAGCGTCCCCCTTTACATCAGAAGCCCCCTCCAGGAGGTGCCACAGTGGTCAGTTGGGGAACAAGTATTCATTGAATCTGACTTTTACCGGCTACCGTTTTAGTAAAACTAACCCTGTGGTGACAGCGTTACTTTAAAATCTAAATTTCTGAGATTCATATGCATAACCCAATCACTGCTTTCAATTACTGGATTAGGCTGATGGTGTCATTAGAGGCCGGGGTCTAGGACCAGGAAGAGGTGTTTTACAGAGACACTGTGCAATGGATGAGGTTGTGGGTCTAGGAAAAAGCAGCTACAGAATACCAACTGCCCGTGCTACATTGTACACAACGGACTAGTCTTACAATGTTTGATGAATGTGGTTGCTAGAGCACAGGTCTACTTTAAAGTATAAGGGTATTTTTAGATACACTTATCCTTATTTAAATAATGTACTGCAAACTACAGTATATTATTGCTGGCTTGTAATTACATAAAGGCCTTTTCAAAAAATTAGCCAATACCGGAGCAAGTGTCCAGGGTAAAAGGACTTTACAGTACTTTACAGAATCAGGGCCTTGAAGAAAACAGGGGCATCAAACTAATGAGATGTACTGTACATATAAAACTAAATATGGATCCCATTTAACCAGCATATTGATCCCTTACAGACGAGCCTGTGAGAAGAGGTGTGACCAGCCTTTGATAATCTCATTCCTTGGGATATTCCAATCAAGATAAATAATTAATTATTGACTATATATCCTGTAAATTTCAATTCAGATCTGTCAGATCTGCAATTTTACATTTGTATATTTAAAGAAACAAATTGCAATGAAATGATTTGTTTAGCTTTCAAACCAATACTTTCCTCACTATCCATTACAGGTCAGTACTGATATGCTACAACGTATACTTATAAAGTGTAAATGGAAAAAAAAAGTATAACCGCTATTTAATCTCTCATTGGTTGTGGTAATGTAAGGGCTCCCCATTCAAGTATTCTCTGTAGAACAGGAAACTAAAACATTGGATTAGCAGAGCAGAGAAGATACTGAGAATAAATAGGTCACATGCTGTATTGCTGTCATATTTGTGGGAATAAAAAGGAACACAATGGAACTAAAAGTGTTAAGTAGATGGATAATCTGAGCTACAGATATAGTTCTTATCCTCTTTGTTCAGGTGTCATCTAGAGGTGCAGTTTCTCAGGAATCGGACGAAATTTGAGCTCTGTATAATCAACTTTAGTGTTTCTAACTTCCCCAGCTGTATATAAAACAGCCTGTATAATGGATGTAAATAAAGCTTTCTGCTGTTCATTGAAAAGGCTAGAATGACTTTATTGTATGATTACCCACCATTTTTGTTGCAGTTTACTTGAATGGAAATAAATAGAGTAAAATTGTCAGTGTAAACTCTCTTGTTCTTGCTTGCGACCAACTAGTGAATTGGCTAAGCTGCTATAAATTTACTACAAGAACTTTGCAACATGTGTTTATTGTACTTATAAAATATGACAGAGACTACTACATATCCTGCCCAAAAATATATTCGCTCGATCATCCATAAGTGGACCCAGCATCAGATACGTTCTTTCATGTTACGTGCTTGCATGTTAAGTAATGTGTAAGTGTAACACATACAGGTATTTATTACCTTTCGCAGGCATGACACCATTCCCCCTGACCATGCTTTTAGGCAATATCATGCATCATTCAGGGTCAGCATCTACTTCCCCTGAACTGAGATACTGAGATCAATCCCTTGCTACAGCCTCTCACCTTGTGACTTGCTACAAGGTTACAGTCTAAATACCGGGGGAGATGAAGCTAAGGAAATGCCTCCTTCTGCCTGCAGCCACCTAATGATATAATCGCAGACTGAGCAGTGTCATATACCTGGAGCTTAGGTACTACTTTGCAATGATAAATTATCTTTTATTTTTTTTAAAATATACTATTTCTGTATATTTTGGGTCAGAAATGTATGAATGCAGTCTTGTAAAGTTACTGAAATGTCCACTTTAATGAACTAAAGACCAATGATAATTGTTGACTATTCCTGGTAGCAACATAAATGAATGTCCCTTCCTTTAGCAAGATTATTCAGAAGCAAGAGGGAGCGGCAATGACAGAGTTCACCTATATCATCACCTATTGGTGAAGTCTGGTATTGCAATACAAACCATAAATTGTTGTGATTCCAGATCACAAAGCCTTCTAAACAACAGAAGAACAGGGGTCCCATAGCTGAACACAAAGAGGTTGTACAATGTAAAGAGAGCTTGCAGTTACTCTAAGGCAGGGGACTTCACATTTATCGGAAACTCTATTTTATCTTTCACGTACCACTTATGTGACATTTAGAGCTGATTTTATTACTTACTGCGTTTATCTTCAGTGTCTAGCTTTGTTTTTCCAAGATCAGCCTGCCTTCCACTGATGCCCAGCAGTTGCAAATCAATCACCCCTTTTACAGCACTCTCATGCAAGTGACTCTGATCAGCTACATTTGCCTTGGCTTTGTTTGACTTTAACATAAAATCTTTCAAGGCTAATAGTTTATCTTCTTCTTCTTCTGTCATACCCTGGAATTAAGAAAATAAGGTGCATAAGGACAATCCCAAAGCATGACTTACCTGGAAAGGGTAAGTGGGCATTTTCATAAATGACCAGGAGAATAGGGTGGTCTAGGGCAGAAAACAAAGTATATATAGAATTACAGTTTTGGGATGTGTAAACGTTAAAAAAACAAAAACAACCATCTAAAAAAACTGACACCAAGCATTATAGTGTATTGCCAGGTGCTGTCTTAAATGTACAGTATGGACAGCTTTAGTAAAGGACAGAAACAAGTTTAGTACATGAATCTAAAGACCGCAACTAGGCATTACATTTATAGCTCAATGCCCAACTCCAGACTTCATGCTCCCTCTTCAAAACCACCTCATACCCACCTGGTCGTCTGTGTTTGCTTTTAGTTACTTTACATCTACCCTTTTCAAGGTCTTTAGGCCAATCATGTAATGCCAACAGGGCCCCTTTGCATCTTCTCCAGGCTGGGAGGTCCTCAATGATGCAAAGAGTGGTGCTGACATCAGTGCTGCCCTTCGCAGCATTACCCGGTGAATTCAGGGCACTATGCATGTACCATCTTAGATGAGCCCATGAGACCTTGCAATCACAGTGATGTCCTTGATCATTCAGACTTAGTGATGCTGTGCATTATTTAACCTGGAAAACTGAGTGACATCTTGTAGCGGAGAAGAGGTACTGCAGGGGCCAGCTCCCAATTATTAAGCAGTATTACAGTCTGAGCTCTATTTTTTTCTCCTTGCTGGATGATCTGAGGAAGGAAAACCCTGCCACTACGAAGATGGCCACCTCCACACAGAGAAACAGAGCAGCATAAGCTTGATAAGTCAGTAATGGGGATAGATCAGCTGCAGGGAGACCACAGGGAATACTAATGGCCCGGCCCATTACCTACTACCTGCCTTTAACACAGTTTCCAGATTGTAGTTTAAAAGAAAATGTTAAGCTGTTGGGAGATGCTTCCAGCGAAAAACCAATAAAAATGTAAAAGGAGTTTGCAGCTGCAGATGCAGAAAGGTACAAATTTATTTGAGAAAAAAACAAGAACTAAACAATGTCATACCTGTGACAAAAGCTTCTTCAAAAGCTGAGCAATAGCTGGATCTTCAGGAGGAGGACACTCGAGAAGAGTGCCATTCCTCTTTTTCTGACGCATCTGGAGATGTCTAAAGAGGCTTGCAATGTCCTTTGATCGCAGGGCATAGTCAAAAATTGAGCGGCTTACAGGCTCTTTTAGCACACTAAGTAGAACGATTTCCTTGTCTATCTGTTAGAAATAATAAAGATTAAAAATAAAATATTAACAATTTAAAACATAAAAAGGAAAGGAGTTATGTCAGACGAATTTTAATATTTTTTGTGTAGTAGCGGTGTACTTTCCAAAGGTCTATCTAAAGTAAAAACTTTTTTAGTTTTGGACAGATTAGAGAATGGTTAAAAGCATTTTTTTTTTTGCTGTCTGTGTCATTTGGGGAGATATCCCTTTATTTTGTCTCGAGACATAATAGGCAGTAAGAGAACATCTATCCAAAGTAAGAGAGAGAAATTCTCTTAGAACAAGTGTCCCCCCTGTTACTGAAAACCTAAAATATTCAGTGATAATGGTAATCAGGACAAAAAGAGAGGATGAATCTTCCCAGCGGCTGCAAAGACACAATAAATACTTAACAGTGGTTCTAACCCTTTCAAACTCTATGAAAAAAATAGCTTTAGATATACTATAAACCTGTGCTGTGTAACTTCCCCTCTATCTGCATCCTGTATCAAATTCTAAACTCCATAAAATGTTTATATCTGTTTGGTTAGAAACTCTGGCTACCGGTTATTATTTCATTAGACTTTCATGGGTGTTCCAGTTTCACCAGCAGGTTTGTTCCAGGATCAAAACACAAAAGGCGAAACCCAAAAAGGGGAAATGGGAGGCCCCAACTTAATATTCCATTAATTTATTTTTAACTATTTAAAACGCCAAACATTTCCAAGTGTATGATGTATCCACTCACAGCTAAACTACCATTGTAGAATATGGTTTTAACTTAAAGGAGAACTATGGGGTAAGTATTTTTCCCCATAGTTCTCCTAAGGGTCACGGGAGGACACAAACTAGCATCCTCCCGTGACCCAAAGCTCAGTATACCGCGAACTACAGCTTGCGGTATACTGAAGCCGCTGCAGCCGGGACTGATCCCGACAATACTGTCGAGATCCACCCAGCTGCGTGATTGACAGCTGACTCTGCCTATCTAGAGGCAGAGCCAGCTGTACTCGCCCCCTCCCCCGTCCGTTCCGCCAGTCAGCACTGGAGGATCGGAGTGAGGAGGATCCCTGCAGGGAGCCATGAGTGACAGTCACGGCTCTCTGCAGGGAGATGATCGAGAAGTGAGCGAGCGACAGTATGTGTTCGCTCACTTCCTGATCTATTGAGCCGACGTGTGACAGTTTCATTGTCACACGTCGGCTCGAACTACGAGGTTGAGTGAAAAATCACTCACCTCATAGTTCTCCTTTAATAGGGTGTTTAAGTGTAAAAACATATTCTTCAATGGTAGTTTTTGTGTTCCGGGATCACCAGATTACTGACATAAAAAGAGTGGTGGGGCCGATACAATACAGCAATGCCTGGATAAGAAACTGAGCTATTGAGCAGGTAAGGTTGTACTTCCTGTATGTATCTTAAGGTTTCATTTGCATAATTAGCTAAAGTGTACTTTTGACTAAGAACAGCACAACTTTCTGGTCACTATATATATATAAACACGAAAGTGGAAATAATTATACAGAAAAAGTCAAAGTAGAATCCAGGCCATAGATATGCTTAATAAGCAGTCTTTAGCCCAGAAATATGCTAGTGAACTGCAAACCCATAGAGATTAATTAAAAAGATTAATGTTAGAGAAAAAAAAAGCGGCCTTGAATAAAAACCACCAAAATTTTTATGAATTTGGTAATAAGCCCGGAAAACTCCCAGCTCGTTCTTTAAGGGTTATGACAACTCGCACATCAATTCCAAATATTAACGCAGAAAATGGTTCTAATTTGTTTAAATTGAGTGAAATAGCGAGGCGATTTAGGGACTATTATAAACAATTATTTAATATCGGCAGTCAAACAGATGAGTCCTAGAATGTTAATGCCCACACTAAAATCAAAGCTTATCTATTACAGTCAGGGCTTCGGCAGCTCTCTGGTGAGATGACAAAACTTGTGGAAACTAAAATAACAGAGAGAAGAGTTTTATTCTGCTGTTAAATCATTAAAAATGGCAAAAGCACCGGGATGGTTTTTCTAGTGGTTATTATAAAGTTTTTTGCCCCTTTTTTGGCTCCATATTTCACATCAGCATTTAACTTAATCACAGGGCAATATGAAATCCCAGAAGATACGTTAGGAGCACATATCACAGTAATACCTAAAGCAGGGGAAGGATAGCTCGGAATGTGCAAACTACAGGCCGATATCGCTGCTAAATGTAAATCTTAAATTATTTACAAAAATAATAGCGGAAAGACTAACCTCACATGTAGCCACTTTAGAATATATAGGACTAGGACCTCATATGCAAACATTGATAAATGCTCTGTATTGTAGGCCAACTGCAGCGTTCCAAACAAATGAAGCGATATCAGATTATTTCCCCCTTCATAATGGGACTAGACAAGGTTGTCCATTATCGCCGCTATTTATACTTACGTTAGAACCATTTTTGTGCCACGTTAGGGCAAATCCGAACATATCGGGATTAGTAACATCTATGCATCAACTTAAGGTCGCGGCCTATGCAGATGATCTTTTGTTTTTTGTGACACAACCAGAAATATCTTTACCTAACCTTATAAGAGAATTGGACCGATTTGTAGAAATGTCTAACTTTAAATTAACTGCGATAAATCAGGAATATTAAAATGTTAATTTGCAGGCAACAAGGTTCATGACGATAAGCTCTAGTTTTAGGTTTAAAGGTGTGGCAGAAGCTATAACTTATCTAGGTACAAAGATTACACCACAGCTGGGGGACATATTTAAAGCAAATGTTCCATCATTATTCAGCTCTATTGAATTGGATTTGAAATGGGCAAAAGAGTCATATATACGTTGTTTGGTAGGAATTCTATATTAAAAGATGATGACCCTTCCCCCGATTACTTTATCTCCTTCAGACATCACCAGTGGAAATTCCGAAAGTATACTTACAACGACTCAATCAATTTTTGTTAGATTTATCTGGGCTGGTAAGAAACCAAGGCTGAAACACAGTCTCCTTACATATGCAAAGCTGCATGGGGGCATTGGGTTTCCAGATCCATTTAAATATCATAGAGCTGTTCATTTAGCTAGTGTTGGATTGGTGTAGATATTCAGATTCTAAATTATCAGTCTTATTGGAGCAATAGTCCATAGAGTTGTATTTGCTTGGGTTACCATGGCTATCAAGGTCATGTCTTAAATCATGTTGGAATTATCCCCTGATAGGCTGACATTCAGAGCAGTGCGATCATCATCCCTAATAACAACTTCAGACAAGGCCACCTGTCCCATGACTCCGGTGTAAGGTAATCCTATGTTTTTACCCGGTTTGCAAGATACACAATTTTAAATATCAGAGAGTGAGGGAAATTTAGATTGCATGATTTTGTGCCTCGAGCAGAAGTTCCTTTGATATCAGAGCTTTCGGAGAGCTTCTCTCCCATCTTATGTAGATGGCAGATACTTCAACTGAATAGTTTTTTTACAGACCCTTAATAGAAGATATGAAGGGACAAGGATAAGGACCCCTTTTGAGAAATTGTGTAGTGAAAAAGGGATGCTGAGGCATGCTCTATCTAAGATATATCATATGATTAACGAACCTTCAGAACAGTTTTGCCCCTTTGTTCCTCAGTAAGTGGGAAAGAGATCTACAAAGACAGTTTACTAAGAAACAAGGAAATTATATATTATATTTTTCACAATACTCCTCTATCTCTAGTAGATTCCAAGAAGTAGGTTATAAAATACTAACACGTTGGTATAGAGTTCCGACTATTCTACATAAGATTAAACCAGAAGAGTCAGATAAATGTTGGAGATGTGGGAATAGAGAGGGAAGTATTCTTCATATATTTTGGTCATGACCCAAAATTCGACCTTTTTGGGATGAAGTTAAGAATCATATTGAAGGACTTACTGGAATAGAGATGGGGAAGAATCCGGCAGCTTATTTATTACAGGTCTCTCTCCTTTCCAAGAAGAGATATAGGAACTAATTGCTTATACACTTAGTTAATGCAGCAAGAATCTGCATACCCTTGTATTGGAGAAAGGAGATATCACCACCAATACAGCTGTGGTTCTCTAAGGTTGCGGAAATTAGAGATATGGAGGAGCTTACATCATCTCTATATCACAGAGAAGTGAAATTTGGAGAGACCTGGCTGAGTTGGATGCGATTCACCCAATCCCTAGAATATTATAACAAATTTACCTATTAATACAGATATCTAAAGAGTATATGGGGATAACTTAAAAATAGGGGTCTTACACTGGCAGTTATTTTTTTTTAGGTATGTTTATAGAAATAATAATATAGTTAGTAACAATTAATGTATTAGTTACATGGAAGCAATTGAAAGTATCTGTATTTATATATAAATGAAAGTAGAATTGTGATTGTTACCATGTATTTATTAAACAAAAATTATAAATAAAGAATTTATAATAAAAAAAAGTCAAAGTACTGAAGTAAAGCTAAATATTTTATGCAAGTACACAATGTGATATTGTTCTGCAGAAGACATACCTGAATTATAGGTTGAGAAATGAAAGGGTGAAGGTAGGGCATCAACTTACAGTACACATCAGCAATATTTAACTGCTGAGCTACTGTAGTAATAAACCCCACAGCTCCATAACGTATCCACAAATTTGGATGGCACAAAAAAGGAGCTGCAAAAAATAAATAAAGTTACAATATTAAAATATTCTGAAACAATCACACAATGTTTATGTTACAAACTTTTACACAAATAAAATTAAAAAATGTGCCCAACAGCATATGTGTACAATCTCCAATCAGATGAGCTCTTTTCTGATATCTTAGTTTTTGAGCTTAGTTTTGGTTAGCTGAATTCTACACTGACATCTTTTATTTTAGAGAGAAGCCATCCCCCAATCCATCAGGTAAGAATCCACCTTTATTTGCATTGTTTAGGATTTAACCCCTTAATGACCGAGGCATTTCTTCCATTTTTTTGTTTACATGTTATAATCCACATTTTAGACCTGAAAATTACTTAAAACCCCCAAACATTATATATTTTCTGAAAGCCAAGGCACTATAGAATACAATGGTGGCAGTTGCAAATTTTTATGTTGCACGATATTAGCGCAACTCCTTATCAAACCCCAAACTTTAGTGAAAAATGCACTTAAATGCCCCAAAACACAATAAAATACCCATTTTCTTTATGAAATATAAAAGAGGTTACATCGAGTAAATAGATACCCAACAAGCCCAGGCTAAAAATTGTGTGCATCCGTAAAACTGCAACAAAATTCAGTACCCCAAAAAGTCCATAGAGGACGCTTTAAAAGCCCCCACAGGTCATCAGTTTAGAGATACGGGTAAATATTGGACGTAGAATTATTGCTGTCGTGCTGGCGTGTGTGGCGATACCCAACATGTGCAGCACGATCGTCGTTTTCATACATAGGCGCACCCGACGCGTCTTTACGTGAAGACGCGCGTGCTCGTTGGGGCAAGGGACTTTAAACGTTTTTTTCATTATTTTTACATTTATTTTACTTAATAATAATTTGAAAAACTGTTTGGTTTTTTAAACTTTACTTTGATTGCTATCACATAGGGGGCTTACAAGCCCCACATGTGATAGCAGAGTAGTGGTGACAGGTACTCTTTAAGGTAACACTGGGGGTCCAAAAGACCCCTAGTATCACCTTTACACTTGAAATAATGTATAGAAGTACAATTGTAAAAAGTCTTTAAGAGGGATGCAACACTCATGAAATTGCTAACATATTGGGGCATGATCACAGAACCATCAAACGTTTTGTTGCAAATAGTCAACAGGGTCTCAAGAAACGTGTTAAAAAGAAAGATGCAAATTAACTGCCAAAGATTTGAATCAAACGTGAAGCTCCCAGGAACCCATTATCCTCCAGTGGTGTCATATTCCAGAAATCCAACCTACCTGGAGTGCACAGAAGTACAAGGTGTTCAGTGCTCAGAGACATGGCCAAGGTGAGGAGGGCTGAAACATGACCACCACTCAACAAGACACATACAGTAAGTTAAAACGTCAAGACTGGGCCAAGAAATATCTGAAGACAGATCTTACAAAGGTTTTATGGACTCATGAGATGAGAGCGACTCTTGATGGACCAGATGGATGGGCCCCTGACTGGATCAGTAAAGGGCGCAGAACTCCACTTCAACTCAGACTCCAGCAAGGTGGAGGTGGGGTACTAGTGGGCTGGTATTAATAAATATGAGCTAGTTGGACCTTTTCAGATTTTTCAGATTGACTTTAACAGATCAAAATATACAAGAGAGATGGGAAAATCTTCGTTTTCCATTTAGTTGCCCAATAATTGTGCACTCAGATATTCTGCTTAGAAAGCCAAAACCTCACTTTTACTTTCCTAAATATTCAGGTTTGAGGTTTATTAACATTTTGGATTGACTGAGAGTACTGTAGTTATTCAATAATGAAATGAATCCTCAAAAATACAACTTGCCTAATAATTGTGCACACAGTGTAAGTGCCAATGAAATGCTCCTAACTGACGACGGAAGTCATGGTTCATGACTCACCAAACAGTATGTTCATTTTCAAAACGCAATAAATATGGTACAACTAAATCAGGGGTCTCAAGCTCAATTCACTTGTGGGCCACTGGACAATTTGTTTTTCTCCCATGAGGGCCACTTGTCAAATTTCTTGCTTCAACAATCACTCTTCCTGGATGCATGATTGATGTGTCCAGGGATTCACACATGCATATACACACACACACAGAAATACAACCCCCCCCGCACACACACACACACACACACACACACACACACATAGAAATACAC